TTATTATTATTATTATTATTTTTCTGCAAAGACGATCGTTTGGATCGAGATCGAAACTACAGAGTTGCGTCCAAGTACTTTTTATTTTTTTATAATAAATAATAATAACTCAACGATCTTCACTTGAATGTGCAATTTATTCACAAAAGGCGAGGGTAAATTTGTTATTGAAATTAATGGTTGGAAACCATGGAGATAAAAATGACAGTCTACTTCTTTTGTTTTAGGTATAATATAACCGTGCAGTTACCTAATGAAAGCCATTGATGTAATGTCAGTTTGTGCGAATCATTGGTTTCTGATTGGCCAGTTTATTGCTAAATTTTTGTGTATTAAAAGTTCATTTTTAAACAAAATCAGTGTTGACCAAGTTACGTAAAAAATTGTGCAATGTTACGAGCTATAAAAGTACAAGAAAATAAAAACGAGTTAAAAAAAACAGTATCGGTAAACTGATTTAACACGCGTTAGAACTTGTTGAATGACGATGAGTTTTTTTTACACAAACAATAACACGAATGAAAAACATGCAGTGCATATTTTAACAAAAAGGAACCTTAGGAAATTTCGTCGGATTTCTTTAACTTGTTGAGTTTTTTACTCATTTAGTATGATTTTGAGCGGTTATCAAAATCGTAACAAAATGGAGTTACGCAACACGTCAATGAGTTTTTAATTTTTTTTTTTTATAATAGAAGTACTTTTGTTTTTATTTTTTATTCATGTGGTTTTTATGTTAAGGTTAAAAAAAACATCGCTAATTTTACCATTAGTACTTGGCTAGCGCATGATAGTGTACTTAAAATCAGATGGTGAAAAGAGATTTAATAGCTACAATCGATAAAGTTTTAAAAATGAACGTAGTAGTTGTAAAAAATGCTAAAATTCATTCTCACCTTGAATTTCAAACCCTGGGATTTCAAGGTCATCCCTTTTTTTACGCCGTTTTTTTTGAACGATTGCGGGTTCGTTTTCGTTTGTTCCGCTTGTTTTCACTTCTTCCAATTCACCAATGGGAAGAGTTGATGATGTGTCATTGCTGCAGGTCGACGTGTTATCTACATTATCGTCTTTCGTTTTGTCAGCATAACCGTCCTTCGACTTGGGCGATTCCGTTGCATTATCATCTTCCACAATATCGAGTTCTTCAACGATATTACTGTCTTTTTCTGGCACTTCACCTGCACTAGATTTTTCTTCATCTTTCTCTTCTTCTTTGTTATCTTTGACCTTTTCTTCTTCATTTTTTGAATCCTTGCCAGTTTCAGCAGGTGATGCTGTTGGCTGTTCAGTATTGTCAGAAGCATCAGGTGTCTTGGGAGGAGTGGTATCATCGTTTTTGTCATCAGGTCTGGCATCATTAGATTCAGTACTTGCAGTCTCATCTATCATAAGTGGCTTGGGAGATCCAACATCACTCTGTACATCCATAGCTTCACTGACCTCTTCAGTTTCTTGAACTGCAGCATCATCAGTTTTTTCTTCTACACCTTCCTGATTTTCAATGTCTTCTGTTTCATTATCCTGTAGTTCATCAATCCCAGAGACCTCCTTGGCTTTTTCTATCCTTTCTTCGTTTTCATCAGTATTACTGATTTCCATCGGTTCAGCTTCGTTTATAAGTTCTTTTTCTTCTGAATCTTTCTCTTCTGGCAGATTTTTCTCTTGATCTTTCTCTTCTGCTACTTTTTCTTCTAAATCTTTCTCTTCTGATACTGTTTCTTCTAGATCTTTCTCTTCTGGTACTTTTTCTTCTAGATCTTTCTCTTCTGGTACTTTTTCTTCTGAATTTGTCTCTTCTGGCTCTTTCTCTTCTGGTACTTTTTCTTCTAGATCTTTCTCTTCAGGTACTTTATCTTCTACTAAATTTTCTTTTAGAGCATCCTCTTCTGGTAATTTTTCTTCTAGAGCTTTCTCTTCTAGTAATTTTTCTTCTAGAGCTTTCTCTTCTGGTAATTTTTCTTCTGAATCTGTTACTTCTGCAACTTTTTCTTCTGAATCTTTTTCGTCTGGAACGTTTATTTCACCTTGAACGATATTTTCATCCTTATTTGTCTCCTCTTCATTGTTCATGTCTTCAGCATCTGTTGTCTCTTCATTTTCTTTTTCTCCAATGTTATCTATTCTATCTGGCTCTTCATGTTCCTCACAGACCATGCTCTCTTCAGTGCTTTGTGCAACTTCTGCTGCCACTTCTTCTACTCTTTCTATTACATCTGGTTGGTCTATTTCTTCTTCAACTTTTTCCTGCTCTTTTTCTTCGACTTTTTCATCTTCTTGTTCCACAATTTCTTCTGCTATTTGTTCTGATTCCTCTTTGTTTTCTTCATTAATATCTTCACTCAGAAGAATCTCGCTCGAATTATTATCATTTTCATGCATTGCTTCTATACATTGTAAATTTGATGCGGTTTCAAATGTATTGACGAGTTGGACAACACTAGGACCAGCCTCATCACACTGCTCATCAATTTCACAACCACTTTGACTACTACTATCATCCACTTCCATAACTGTTTCATTATTATCTTCATCCATCATATCCTCTTTACTGGTTGCAACATCAACAATCTTAATTTGCATTTCACTGGTCACTTCACTGATCACGCATCTCTTTTGTGGAATCATTTCTTCCGTAATAATGCAATCTGCATCGTCATCGTCATCGATAACTTTTTGAACAATGCCATTATAATTACATCTACTTTCTTGACTATCAGAGTTATCATCATCATCATCAAGCTCCACAACTTCGCACTCTTTGGTCACAGTAGAAGGATTATCCCTAACAATTTTGTCTCTTTTAATTCTCAAAACATCACTAGTACTGTCTTTGTTTTTTTGTTCAGAAGATGACTTTACACTTGAAATATTTTCTTTATGCTCAGAAGTAACGTTTACGATTTTGATAGAGTTTAGGCTATTTTTGGCATCTTCAATTGACTTATTTTTTTGTATACTACTGGTTCCAGGCCTCAAACCATGAAGAAGGCCATTTTCCTTTACCAACTGTTTCTTTTCTTTACTAATTTCTGAAGTTGACAAACTGTGTTTCAATTTTTGGGCTAGTTTAACATTGTCTTTTTTGGACACTCTATTTTTATCCAAAGGTCCACTTTGAAACATTGATCTTGGGGTATTGTGCAATCTGAATTTGCTTTGATTATGATAATGAGTCTTGCTGTACTTATCTTTATCTGAATATGGTTGCTTGTACCAATCTCCACCACCACGGTGAGAATAACCACGAGATGAATTCATACCTTTCCATCCTTTATTGAAATTCCAGTGCTTGGAGCCGTTATACATCCCTAATCGATCACTGCCACTCATAATAGACTCTTTTCTACCAACACCACAACTTGCATCTGCAAACTTGGATTTTAAGCTGCAGATTTTAGAATTCCGAGGTACTTTAATTAAAACAATATTTTCTTTATCAGTCAAGTTTTGACTGTTTGTCAGCTTTTCTTTCTCTGGTTTTGAGGTAACCTCAGCAGAAGTTGCTGCTTGTACATCAATTTCCAGATCTGTAATCACAAAAGAAAAAAAGCACAAGGTATGAGATTATAGCAAAAACAATTATCTACATGCTTTTAATGAGCAATCTATTAAAAGATTCAATTATCCATTTACAAATGTTGAAATAAAATTTCAATGATTTATGTAACTATAATTTATTTTCAACCTTAACTTATTAAATGTTTACTATTTCTACTAAAAAATGAGTTATTTTTATACTTTTTAGAAAATATGTAAAATAGTTTTCAACACCAACTGATTCATAGTAATGGTTGGTGTGTATTTTATATCAATACTGAAACTGTATTAAGTATACGATGAACCTAAGTATTAATAATAACAATTATCAGTGTTAGGCACTGCATAATTAAAAATGTAGACAAGTAGCTACAATATTTGGGATGTTAATTTTTAACTGTTTTATAACTAATATTACATCTAAATGAGCTATTTGTATGGTTACACACCTCACTTTCTTGTTTTAGTCACATTTCAAAGCTACCCATCACAAGAGTATTTGAAAAACCAACACACTGAAACTAATACCATTTTGTACACAATGAAACTGATGTGTTATCATGAGATAGAAATAGCAAGTGTCAATTCTTGGTACATGTAATTTTTGCCATCAAGTCTTAATTGTTAAGCAGTCAGTGGTTAAATCATCATTAATTTATGTATCTTACCATTTTGTTTTGGTTGAAAGTTAGTTTGATTATTAGAACATGCTGAAATTTCTTCTTCAACATCAGAAAATCTTAAAAGTATATCATCCTTATCTGACTCATTATTGCAAAAGGTTTCTTTACATTTTTCGTTAGAACTGTCAGATATTTCTGGTATGTTTCTATGTAATAATGACTCATTAGAGGGTAATTTAAAAATATTGACTGCATCCATTATACAAAATGTTGTATGGATTCTATTAGTTTCACTCAGTGTTAAGTTTGCATTCTGTGAATAACCAACATTATTTTGGTTAAAACACAATGCATTATAAAATGACAGTTTAGTATGAAAGTCATGCATGAACAAGAAAATATTTTCTAAAATCTAAGTTTACCATTAACAAATTCCTAATTCTTGGCACATCCAAAACTAGTTCAAATAAAAAAAGTTTTTTGGATTTTAAGTTTAATAAATAAATATCTAAATAATTAAAAATCTACAAATAAGTTAACTGAAAGATAAAAATGTTTATTGAATTTTTTTTTAACAAATTGCACTATATTAGAATTTCTTAATAGTACTTTAATAATTTATAAAATACTTGGCCAGTTAACCAAAAATGATTTTCTTATAACTTTATTGGGTATTATAATAGATTATTTTAAAACATTAGTACAAAGTATTTGAGTTTCGAGACTTAACGTCCAATGAAAAAAAAAATAATCAACATAACCTCAACTGGTTATAACGTGGGGATGTGGGCGTACTTATGTGTCTTTCTAATATAGTACTAAAGGATATCAGTAAAAACCCTACAACTCAACAACATTACAAGTATAGTACAAACTTAAGAAGTTCAAGTCAAATCCATTTAAATTAGAGAACCAAAACCAAAAAAAATATTGATAACGTACTTTTTGATTAACAGCAGCTTTGAACGTGTAGTGAATTATTACATTCGAGGTAGGAAAAACACATAAAACCAAACAAGTTCTTAACAAACGTAGTTTAGTTTTTCGTTATAAATTTCGTACGATTATATACAAAAAAACGCGAAAAATCAACTTTGAGTACCATCAATTTAAGAAAGAGTAAGTACTAAAACAAAAACACTTGAGTGTCTCAACGGCAAAAAAAAAACCAAAAATCACAATTTGAGCTGTGTGTGGCTATACTTCGAACAAAGATTCAAGTGTGAAAAGACGACAAGTAGCCGCATAGTGGGGAGAAAGCGAACGTTCGGTCAAGCTGCAGCTCGACTCGAAGCGACCGAGAAGGGTTTGCTTGCTCATCTGCAAGGAGAAGCATGCGTATGCGCGCGCGTTCATTCCGGCACGCAGGGTTTCTCAACCAATGGCTCTTCCCTCGTAGGGTTTTTTTCTACGAACGTTCGTTTGGCGTATATTGATTTTTATTTGTTTTTGATGCTTGACAGAAAGTAATTTAGTTATATTTTTGGTTGCCATGTTGAAAATAGTTAAAGAAATTAATGATTTATTTGCGCAAATTTAGCTGCGAAAGTGGTTTTTGTGTATCTCAACTGACGAATGCTTAACCTACACCCACAGAATCCTTTAGGTTTTCTGACGTGTGGAAAAGCAGCCACGAAAGTGGCAGCCATATTGTATACTTGTTAGATCCCGCAAGCAGAAATATTTTCCGGGCTTGAAGAGTTATTTTAACTCTTAATATATTACAATGCGATAAGTTGGTTAATATTTAATAAAAATGAATTTTTATGACGTATAACAAAATAAAAAAAAAAACACTTTCAAATATACATTTAAAATAGAATTAGAACTCATTGTATTGCAATAAACAACTAATTTTTCTAAATTTTTTACATAACGAAAAAACGAAAAATACTAGGACTAGATGATTCCCATAAAAAAAATTTTGCAAGACAAAATGTGTTTGTAAGTGGGATATTAATAGCCTATTAACATAAGAAAAAAAAAATTGACAAAAATTAAATCTAACTCATTTAACTAATCTAAATTTTAGTTGGAATCTGTTAGTTAACCAATTTTGTAAGCCTGTAGCACAAAAAACATCAACGTTATCTGAATCATCTAACCTAATCTATTTTTGTTTTTGTATGTATGTGAAAAAAAATTGCCTAAAAAAAAGATTAACGTTACAAAAACATAATATTTTTCTAATCTAAATCGTTTGCTAATATTTTTCTCACTTTTTTTGCAAAGAATTAAAATATTTTTAAAGATAAGTTGTGCGTTACAAATGATCATTAACAAGAACTATTGTGGAAGCCATCTTGCTATGGTTTCAGTATAAATGTATACACACGCGCGCATTCAAAATTAATGATAATTTTTCCTATTTTAAAATAAATTAAAATAATTTAGAGTGATAAAGTTTGATTTTTTTGTTAATTGTTTTAGAAATAATTTTTAGAATAATCAAAAAAAAACTTGTTTTAAGTGAATATAAAATTAAATTAGCGGCCAAAAATAGTTGTGATTCTATAATGCCTTTAATATACAACGTATACATTTAAATGTAATAAATTTTTTAAATTATTGTTTATTTACTCATAGGTTACTAAAAAAAAAAAAATTATTATTGATAGCAAAATAAAAGTTGTATAGGCAAAAAGTTAGCAGTAATACCAACTTTTAACTATTAACAGAGAAATAACAAATAAATTTGAAGTTTGGTGAAATTATCGATGATTGCATCAAGGAGGTACAAAAAAAAATTTTTAACCATTTTTATTTTTCTACCACAACAATAGAACAACCCTAAACTTTGATTTTATACGCTTGCTTAAAGAGACATAAGTAATATTTGGAACTGGTGTGTATCTAACAAGGATAATAACAAAATAAAAACCCTTGAATGATGCCTCGTTGGATTTTTCAGTTTTTTTCTTACTCTGGTGCAGCAAATGTTTCAGCAGTTTCAAATAGGTAGTCGTAGAGAAACATATAAGTTGCTTAATCATGTTTGACTTCCATACAAAATATCAAGATAAAAATTTTTGAAAAATATATACTCGTTTCTTTTAGGATATTTACAATTTTATAAAAATACTTGTAATATTTTTTAAGTTAGACATTTTAAAAACATTTTCTCTTTGTCCATATCTTAGTTACGTCTGAAGCAATTGTATTTCATGGACGCTGCAGATGAAAAACGTTCGTAAAATATATTTAAACTGCTTAAAAACAATATATTTTCAAAATTGAGATGCAAAAATGAGTGCATAATTTTGGATCACAGCTATTATATTTTCTAAAGAAAAACATCACACCTCGAAACTCTCGGAAGGAAACTATTAAATTTGGAAAATTTTGACGAAAAATTTTTTTTTAATATTTGTATGGGAAGTTGACGATGTGGATTAAGTTGTTAACAAATAAAACTGAAATTTAGTGGTTCTGAGTTTGAATTTCAATCTCTATTTTATACGCGTCAATTCTATTAAATAAATCACTATGAAAAAATTTTTCAATTTTCAGATTTTTATGTAGCACATCAAGTAATATTTTCTCGACATTTTAAATATTTTTTAAAAATATTTTGAGAGAATTTTTCCGTAATTTCAAATTTATTAAAGAAGAAATGAATTTTTTTTTGCGTTTTTCATATCTATTTTTTAATTTTTTTCATCAAATAAAATATTATTTACATGAATTAAAAAAACTAGCCAGTCAAAAAAATTTAAACACAAAATGATTCCAAAAATAGAAAATAATTCACATGGGTACAATAGGCTATTTAGTTAAACTAAATACGTTGTTTGAGAATTGCCTACTTGAAAAAAAAAAAATTCGCCAGTATCTTGTCAGTACTTTTACGATGATAATATATTTTTTAGATTTTATAAGATTAAAGAAACTGTTCCAATTAATTGGCAGTTGATTTTTTTATTAAAATCAAATTTAACAAGTTATTGTGATACCGTTTTAGAACGGTCTTAAATAGTAAGGGTATATTTTACTATAATTATATATGCAACGAGTAAAACACTGCATGGATACGTTGTAAATTCACCTGTTTAGTTTGAGTCTTCTAATCGTCTGTATTGCTTCTATACTATCAAGGAGACGAGAAATCGCTCCAAATAATAAGTCAAGAATAATGTGAAAAAATTCTACTTAGTTACTGGATTATAATTTCATTGTTTTCTCACTGAATATGGATCAATTTAGTGAAAGTGGTGGTAAAAAACTATTTAAACAATTCTTTTAAATTGTGAATGTTTCCATAAAGTGGTTAGACGGGTAACATACCAGGATTCAGATTTTATTATTTATTAAATTTTAATATGAGTCATCCTTTTCTTTACGAAAGTGTTTGGACAAAAGTTGTTGGTACTTTTCACGTACCTCCCGATAAACTGTTTTAGGAATTTTTCTTGAGTTTGGTAGCAGTCGTTGTACATTAATAATATATTTAAAAAAATAGTATTAAACTACCATTAACCGTCGATTTGGTTATGTTTCATACACTTATTAACCCTAAACAATTGCATAGGAAGAAGTAGATAGAAATTTCGATTCTACTTTCTGAATGTCAATATTTACACACTTGCTCTGTTCTACACTCAAAGTTAAACGCCAAATCAATTTTCCTCGGTGTTAATATTTAAAACTTAGATAGGTAATTTTTCTGTATATATTTACTTTTGTATTACATGATTGGTAAATTTTCTACAAGATTTGCCGAAAGTGAAGAAACACTGGGCACGGGGTTAAAAAACAAAGATAGGAGGAAAAAAAACTAAAATTAGTCTATCTAAATATTGTTAGATTAACAAATAAAAAACAATAATTTTTATGTGTGTGTGGATGCATAAAATGACTAGAAAACAATACTGCATCTAACATGAAATGATATAGTTAATGCTTTTTTACATGCTTTTTAGAAATAAATCAAACGCCACATGTTGTAGAACTCAAGAGTTTTTATTGAAACGTATACCTTTTCGGATCGATTCTCATTAGTCCTAATGTTATGCACATGGAAACACATAAACTTTACTACGTAAAGAGTAATAGTAAAAAAAGTATTTTTACAATGTCACGGAAAAAAAAACTGCAGTAATTAAGGTTAGATTAATTGTTAGTTTTTAAAACAAAATTAACTATGAAACAAAAGTTAACAACTTGTGGAACTGTTAATTATTTCAGTACATTTAAGAACTGGTTACTTTCACACACTTAGCGTGGATCTAGCATATGATAATTCATATAATACTTTTACTA